TTTTTACAGAGAGGAAGGGAGAGAGATAGAGAGTTAGAAACATCGATGAGAGAGAAACATCAATCAGCTGCCTCCTGCACACCCCCCACTGGGGATGTGCCCGCAACCCAGGTACATGCCCTTGACCGGAATCGAACCTGGGACCCTTCAGTCCGCAGGCCGACGCTCTAGCCACTGAGCCAAACCGGTTTTGGCTGAATAGGAAATTTTTTAAAAATATATTCCAACCAGCAGTGTACTAGGATTCCAATTCTCCACACCTTTGCTAACAAATGGTATAGTTATGGTATAGTCCTTTTCTTCTTCTTCTTCTTATAGTCATTCTAGTTAGTGTGAAGAACTGGCTTTTACATTACTTTTTGCCCCCACCCAAAAAACTTATTAGCACATGATAATGTTTTGTCTTCTTGTGTGATGCATTTGTGGCACACCAACTCTGATTGTGTGTCTGTGGTGGTGTCTGTCTGAGCAAGGTCCTGTGTCTTTCCCATTAGGGCAGCGGTTCTCAACCTGTGGGTCACGACCCCTTTGGCAGTTCACAGGGGTCGTCTAAGACCATCCTGCATATTTACATTATGATTCATAACAGTAGCAACATTACAGTTATGAAGTAGCAACAAAAATAATTTTATGGTTGGGTCACAACATGAGGAACTGTATTTAAAGGAACAGAAGGCTGAGAACCACTGCATTAGGGTGTTTCATTCCATGTTGGTGCAGTTGCCTGCGTTTGAATGAGTGTGCCCCTGTGGCCGGACATTGGCATCTGTACAGTTGTGTGACCAGTAATAGGTGGCGTGACTGCAAAAGGTTGTAGATTTTGTACGGCCCTGTGTGTGGCTGTGTCTGTGTCTAATGTTAGCTGTGTGTAGAACTACATCATGGTGTGTTTGTAAAGGGCTGTAAGCCACTGGATTATATACCTTTGTGTCTGAGGCTGCATCTGTGTTTGACAGGATTGTGTGACTTCGTCTTCTATAGTTTTGTGACCACATATCCCAGAATGCCCTTGTGTCTGTTTAGTTGTAGCTAAACCACGCCACTATAATTGTCTGATTGTATGTGATTGGGTAATTCCGTGTGCTTATGAATTCTATGTCTGAGGGATTATGTGACTACAACATTGTGTAACTAAACAGCACATGGTTGTAGCTTCCTGACTACATGGTTTATGTGATGCACAGACAAGTACATGGCAGGGTCTACATGGTCAGTGTGGCTGAGGTGACCAGGAATTTGTGGCATTATGTAATTGCATGTTACATGTCACATATGTAAATGTATGTGTGAACTATATGTCTGTGATGTGTTGTGCTCACGTTGGCCACCCCGGGATCCCAGGGCACCACAGTGGAGGCCCCTGGTGCAGCACCTTGGATCCTGCCCCCTTGTGGGACAGAAATCAGGCAGTAGCAGGACCAGGGCAAGTGTTGGAGTGGGTCTCCAGCAAGTCGGGTGCTTCCTGTGGTCCAATCCAATGGTTTCATCCCATCCAGGTGAGGCGGCCGACTTCTCCCCAGACCCAGCTGTAGTGGCACCAGCTTCAACTTCCACATGGCCACTCCCCGCAGTGCTCCCTGGGAGGCCGCGGTAGGCAGTGGAGGCTGATGAGCAGGGGCCCTCCTGTCGGGGCTCAGGCCCTGAAAGTTCAGAACCCAGGCAATTTCAAGGCAAGCTAACGTGAAGCCCCAGCGTCTAGCCCTGCCACTCACCAGGGACAGCGCTTTGGCTGTGCTGGGCCCCCACCTGATAGCAGCTTCCACCGTCTGGGGTGGCTGATAATGCTTGGCCTGGCAGGGAGCTTGTGCCAAGTCCCGCCATCAGCACGGCTGTTTCTGTTTTGGGGGAGGGGGAGAAGGAGGGGTGTGCAGGGCCCCAGTTGAGGGAGAGGGGTATCTAGAAGCCCCTTCCCAGAACCCCCATTCCACCTGTCACCCCCTCTCCAGGTAGGTAAATGAGAGGCCTCCAAGTCTTTCCTTCTTTGGGGGAGCCAGTACTTCACTTTATGTAACACTCGAACCCCCAAACCTCTGGACCCCTAGCCCCTGAACATCTGACTGAGCTTTGGATGCAGGGTCAGTCTTTAAGGCGCTGTGCCAAACAGGCCAAGGCAAGTTCTGTTCCCCAGAAATGGTGACACCCCCCGCCTTGCCTGACCCTTATCAGGGGTTGCAGCCAATCAGCTGAGAGCACAGAGGAGCCTTCCAAGGGGCCATCAGAGCCTCAGAGCCCACGAGGCCACAAAGGGAGAGGAGACCTGAGGCCCTTGGATGGGCACCAGCCAGCCATGGCCACAGCTGACACCACCTTGCCTTCCATCAGTACGCTGACTGCCCTGGGCCCCTTTCCAGACACACAGGAGGACGTCCTCAAGGTGAGGCCAGGCAGGGTCCAGGTGGCTGGCCGGGGTGCGGGTCTGCAGTCACAGAGCTTGGGGATCAGGTCTGCATCTAGCCCTGGGCTCCAGAGACCTGGCCAGGCTGGGGGTTCTCAGTCCCGTCCAGGGATCTGAATGTGGTCTAAGGGCCTATTTCTGTCTTGGAAAACGAAGGCTCGGAGCTGAACCCCGTGGTGGTCTAGGCTCCTTGAGACGCCAGGTATCAGGAGGAAGAACAAAGGTGACCGGTGGACATCCAAGAATTAATCTTGGGAATTAATCTTATAGGGGGATTGGAAAGGAGTGAGGGTTTCTGGGGGGGGAAATTGAGGCAAGGCTGCCCCCCTCCCATTCGTGGCCCTGCCACCCCTTCCCCCATGCCGAAGTGCAACTCCAGATAATGTAAGTCTTATCTCCAGTCGCCAGCCAGACCCTAGAGACCTCTGTCCCTGAAGCTGGGGGGGCCGGGGACAGTGTGAGGGAGTGGGACAGACAACACAGACAAGCAAACAAGACCCCTTCTGGAGCCTCTGGCCAGCCTGCCCCATCAGGGCCCCTCCGTCTCCGGGAAGGGTACCCTGGGGACCGCAGAAGTCTCACGCTATGGGCTCCCTCCCGCAGTGGTGGCGCTTTGAAGACGTGCAGGACTTGGGCCCAGGTCCCCCGGACCAGACTCGGCCGCTCCTCCACGTGAGGCCCAAGTTGGAGGACGCGCTTGGGGAGAGAGAAGACGACGACGAGAGGGATGCGGCCACCGCCTGGGACCTGGATCTCTTCTTCACCAACCTGTCGGGCGCAGAGCCCAGCGGCCTGCCTCAGACCTGCGCTCTGGCGCCGGGCGAAGGTCCCGGAACGCACTTCCCCCCGCAGCCCGAGACCCTGGAAGCGTACGCGGGCGGCCTGGGGTTGGTGGCTGGGCCCTTGGGTTCCGAGGAGCACCCGGGCTGGGCGCGCCCGGCCCCACAAGCTCCAGCCCCCGACGCCTTCGTGAGCCCAGCCCTGGTCCCGGCTCCCGAGCCCAAGGCACTGCCGCTGCAGCCAGTGTACCCGGGGCCCGGTGCGGGCTCCTCCGGCAGCTATTTTCCGCGGACCGGGATTTCCGTGCCTGCGGCGCACGGCGCCCCCTATGGGTTGCTCTCCGGGTACCCAGCACTGTACCCGGCGCCGCAGTACCAAGGGCACTTCCAGCTCTTCCGCGGGCTCCCAGCGCCCGTCCCCGGCTCCGCCGCGCCCCCCTCCTTCTTGAATTGTCTGGAACCGGGAACGGCGGGTGCGGGACTCGGGGGAACCGCAGGAGACCCGAGAGGGACCGCGGAGACCGTGCCATC